AATAAAATACAGATGTTTTGATAAATAAAAATAAATAACCAATAGAAAATTCATTTTCTCTTTATTTATAATATCATTCGAAATAAAAAAAAGATTAGAATTGATTTCATGATTATCTAGAAGTATCGAATAAATGTACAAATTTTTAGATAATATTAATGGCATCAACAGTGATTAACTCTGAAATAATCGAAAATATTTCGTCGGATATTGATCAGTTGACAGTGACAAATGGTATAAAAGTAACACAATTTTCACGTCGTATAGCAGATCAATCAATTCTATATCAAATTATTCGTTATCCTGATCGATGTCTTTTCATTTGGATTGGAACACCATCATGTGATATGTCAAATTTGGCTATGACAATGCCAATGAATTTATCATCAACGAATGAATTACTTGGTACAACACTTTTTGGCACGGATTTTTATGAACAATCATTATCAATTAGTAAAAAACTTGCACGTCGTTTAGGTGGACAAAAACAAATATATATTAGTCTAAATCTACCAAATGATTCTGATAATGAAATGTTATTAGGTGAAGTTGAACAAGCTCTTTTCGAACATGTACGACAAAATCAACAAGTTTATTAAAAAATAAAGAACAAAGTTTTGTTTTACACTATAAAACGTTTTACTAAAAACTATACTATTTCTATATAAAAATAGTTAGATTTCATATATTAAACTAGAAATAATCATTCATAACAATCAAACATTATTCTAAATTTCAAACATAAAATCAGATATAAAAGATAAAATTGATTTTTCTTCGATTACTTTATTGTATATTGATGAAGATGGTTTCTATTATAAATTTATTTACATTAATTAATTATATTAATAACATCAAATAATCTATAATTGAAATATAAATAAATACAAGAATAGATTTCGAGACTAACAGTTAAGTCAATAGTTTCTCTTGCATATGTTTAATACTATCAAAGAACAAGCATTGACAACAGTTTGTATTAGAAATGCAATACATTTTTTGTAAAGATAATCTTTGTTATTACATATGTTCTTATCGAACAAACATGTCTTTGAAGTTGAATTGTATCTTTTTAAGTCACTCACTTCCACTTAGATATTCCGTTTTAAAATAATGAATCGCTAAATAGTTTATAAATATTTTAGCAATATACAGTTCAAATAAATTAACAAACAAACAGAAGTATAAATTAGTAGTATCATACAGTGAGATGTTAGTTTATTCCATAACCGAACACTAATACATATAAAAAGAATAACGACACATCACACACACACACACACACACACACACACACACACACACACACACAC